GCTGATACAGATATGCACCTTTAAGCTTGTAACTATTTGGTTATCAGGTGCGTCAAGCTGACAGATGTTGGTTTGCAGCAAATACTATCCAAGTGCTCTTCTCTCCAGAGTCTAAACCTTTATGCCCTTTCTAGGTAAACGTGCTTTCTGTTCTCATAAATAGGTTTGAAGCCAGTTATTTGGTAAATGTAGTTTACTTTCTGAATTGCTTTTTCCAGTCTCACAGATAACGCATACAACAATATTTCCTCTCTTTCCCATCTGAATTACTTGGATCTTTGTGGAGCCCAGGTAAATTCCATTTATCAACACATGCTAATTATCTTGCATTACCTGAATTTTATGCTGCAAAGTTATAAATGATTCTGCAGAACCTATCAGATGATGCACTTTCCTGTATAGCCAAATGCAGAAAACTTGCGGCCCTGAATTTGACGTGGTAAGTTTGTAAGTAAAATGCCTTCAATATTTTGTGGAGTCGACATAATATGGTTACTTTTCACAGGTGTGTACGTATTACTGACAAGGGGGTCAAAACAGTTGCTGAAGGCTGCGTCTCTCTCGAGTTCCTTAGGTAAATCTTGATGATAAGGTTCTTCCAACTAAGATAAGAGTTATCTGGGCTGAAATAAAAACAACTCGGCTGAATTTTATTTATTTAATTCGGAGATGGTCAGTAAGCGTATTACAAAGCTTGATGAATGCTAAGCTTCGCATTTTCGTGGTTCTAGCTGGGTTAAGGAGAGCAGTTCTCGTGTTGTGGTTATGGAAACTTGATGGTTCTTTTTGAAACCTCCTTTCTGCATAGTTGTGTCCTCTGCTAGAGTAGCTTGACTAATACATAATTCCATAAGCTGCCGAAGCATATTTGCAATGATTCTTATCCAAGTGACCTGTAATCAAATTAATAAGGTATTTCCTACTGATTTTTTCCAATGTAGTTATTAGTTAGCCCCAAAGATGATGTTAGCAGGACATCTTAGAAGTTGCAGTGTCTTTTGGCTTTGAGTACTTCAGATTGTTGGTCTTATCTATGCATAGCATTGAGGGTTTGGCAGTTTTATTTAAAATTGTTATTTGGTGGCTTTTATTTTGAAAATAGATGGAAGTGTAGATTAAAGTGTCTTCTTTTCCTATATTTTACACTTCTAAAATGTAAAGTCAGTACTTTTTCTTATATGTTTCCACTCAAGCAAGCACGTGTCAGAAGTTGGGGAAGGTGTTTCTATTTCTGGCTTTTGTTGGTGCCTCTTGTTGTCTTTTGATGCCAAACAAGTTGGATTAAAAGTTGTTATGATTGCTGGTCTCCTGGACCATCTTGCACTTCGATAGTTTACCTTAATGAGTATGCATCATCCACAAGATATACGGCACAAAAGCTATAATGAACCAAATCAGACATCAAGTTCTCTCTTCATTGTTCAGTTAGTGATAATTGCTGCGAAATGCAGCTTGTTTGGGATAGTTGGGGTGACAGACAAGTGCCTTGAAGCCCTTTCAACGACCTGCTCACACACACTCGCCACACTTGACGTGAATGGTTGCGTTGGCATCAAGGTAGGATGTTCTTTGTTGGTGCAAGGAACGAGGCTTGCTGCTTTTTGAGTGAATTTAAGTTGTTTTTGTTTATTTTTTGAATTTGTGTTGTTTACTATGTGTATTATTTTCCTCCGCAGAGACGAAGCCGGGAAGACCTGCTCGAATTGTTTCCACACCTCAACTGTTTTAAGGTTCATAGCTGACATTTTAAAGGAGGACGATATACCGATATAGATGACGATTATATATTTTCTTTTTTTGAAGAAAGTGGCTATTATATTATAGCTGCAGCTGCTAGAAAAGATCATATTATAACGCCATTTCAGATTTTTCAGTTGGATTGTCAGTTTTCCCTTCAATTTAAAAGTCTGCTTGCTGTCTCTCTTTCTTGAAGTCTGTATGATTTGACAATGAAATGTTGAGAAAATATTTGCAAGAATGAACGAGAGAATATTTGGCAGAAGGGATGACGAGGGAACATCGTTTTTTTTACCCGACGTTTTGAAACATGGTGTTGTAACTGTGTAGATAGATGGTCTTAGTAAATCTTGTTTGATGCGAGAATGATACATGGTAATGGACAGCGGTCTGGTCCGGTGACCTCGTGCTGAATCCGTATCGATATACACCTGTTAAGATGATCGCCGTCTATTGACCCAACTTTTGGTTACTTCTGAATGAATATGCTTTGTAACAGATTTGCTAGGACTAAGGGTGCGTTTGGCAATCATTCTGTTCCCGGAAACAATTTCTATTCAGAAATGATTCTTTTTAATTCCGTGCTCGGGAACAATTTCTAAGCATATGAAGGCGTTTGGTAACTGCCCAAAATTTCTATTCTTGGAATAAAAAAAGAATAGAAATGCGTTTGGTAACCGCACAAAATTTCTTTTTATTAATAATATTTTGAATTTTTTAATATTTTTTTCTTTCCTTTTTCTTTTTTTTTTTCTTGTTCTCCTTCCTTGGCCATGGCCAGGGTCGGCGAGGGCATCGTGGCCCTCACCCAGACCGCGAGGGTCCAACCCTCGCCCTCGCCAGCGAGGACCACGATGCCCTCACCAGATGTCGGCGACCGGCCACAGGTCAAGAAGAAGAAGAAGAAGAAATTTCTTTTCCATTTTTTATTATTGTTCTCAGAATCAAGAAGCAATTTTTTTTTTGCTTCTTGATTTTATTTCAAAACTGATTCTAGAAACAAATTTTTACAAATGTGTCCGGGAACAAAAAATTTACCAAACGGATTTCTATTTCAAAACTGATTTTAAGAACAAAAGAATAGAAATAGTTACTGTTTGGCCGGTTGCCAAACGCGCCCTAAATATCACAAGCTTTTGAATCATGCCAGTGATGTTTCTCTCAAGTCGCACCAAAATATGGACCAGAAGATCCCTTACATGTCTACCTCTCTTTGGGGAGGTAGCGTGATTATTTGTTCTAGTTTTTGCTTTTGTCCTTTTATTTCAGAGTTCTTTATACGTTTTGATTCTTCTAGACATTGTACACCCGGAACCGCTAACATTGATAACGGCTGCGAATCTGCATAACTACATGTTTGTAGAATTGTCAATACTTGTTTGATGAATCCTTTACACCGGGATTATCTCTCTTCTATTTGATATTGGAGGAGCGAGAGGAGAAACTACTCCGTGATATCATCGTATCACGTCGGTGGCTGATGTGGCACGCATTTACCTAGTAGATCCAATTACAAATTGACATGTGGCAAGTGACTTGGAATTGGATAAAAACAAATTAAAAAATTGCTAGCTGATGGCAAGTTGCAAACATTTCATAAATTTAGGACATTAGCGGAGGTTAACAAATTCTGGCAAATTTGAAATGGCCCGCCAAAGATCCACTTGTCTGACTTTCTCCCCATCTTTTAGGTTCTTTGCAAAACTTTGCCCATCCATGATACCACTCCCCAATTTTTCTCATTTTTCTGCCCCCATAGGCTTCATAAAGATCACCATGAAAACTCCATCCTTAGGAGGCTTAATCTTTCGTCCTCTTATAACATGACCGTAGTCCATTGGGAAGGTTGAGCACAACAGAGAGGCGCTCTCAGAACTAGGGGAGAGGTACAAAACCTTAGTTTTCATCCAACACGACCACTCCGGTAAATTTCGAAGACGGAACACGGTTGAGCACTCTAGCACGATCACTCATGATTTGACGTTCTGTTCTTCGGTCATAATAGATTATCTCTCTTATGTAAATGTTTTTAGATGTTTTTGGGCACATTTTTTTTAAATGGTAATGACTGGTGATGGTGGTGGGTGCGTTCATTTCGTGGAAAATGAATGATTTAGAAAATATTTTCCGAAAAATAATTGCTTATATCGTTTAGAGAAATTAGTTAACAGAAAATATTTTCATCATCGATAATAATCTATGCCTAACTTATTTTCGTGAGCGATGAAAGAATTTTCCATTCATTTATTTTTCTAAACGATATAAGCGATAATTTTTCGGAAAATATTTTCCGAATTACTCATTTTCCACGAAACGAAGGCATTAAGATTCCTGATCCCCCGTAGCTAACTTGACTAGTTCTCGGGATAAATGGGTAAGACTCCATATCTTTAAAATTAGATTTGCTTTCATTTTATCTTTCTTATTTAAATAATTAGATTTATTTTTTCAAATTGTAGAGGCTCCAAAGGATCGTATCATTGATAAACAATTTAAATTTGGAGTTGACATGACATTTGCTCACGAGGAGGAAGCTTGTAATACATACAAGTTCGCATTATGCAACTTGCAATGGATTTGAAAGTGCCAAGAGGGAAAAAAGCAAACAATAGCAAAGGAACATTGTAACGATGCATATTCTTTGTAGCTGTGAAGGATGGTATCCACTAATCCCATATAATGAACCAAGACATAGTTACAGGACAATGAAGAGAACCAAATAACAAGTTTGCATTAAATTCAAAATCCAAGATGAAGTTTGGGTAGTTGCTGAGTTTAAGGATATTCAAAATCATCCTTTCATCGAGGATAAACAAAAACATATGATGCGATCATATCAACACATAACAGATACTAGTAAAAGGATTTTGACTTGGGCTCGTATAAAGCTACGAAAGCATATTCCTACCTTAATAGTGAAGCGGGGACAAGATAATGTTGGCTTTACATTACGTGATTGTCAAAATTGACATATAAGAAGCAACTTTGAATTAAATAAAAACAAATTAATAACCTGCTAAGGGATGCAGGTTGCAAAAGTCCCATAAATTTATGACACTAGCAGCTTTGATAAATGCTTTGGCCTGCCAGAGAGCCACTCATGTGACTTCCTCCCGTCTTCTACGTTTCTTTTGTAAAGTTTGTCCTTCCATTCTATTATTCCCCAATCACCTGCACTGATCAGGTTTCTTCTCTTTAATTGTAAGTAATTGTAAGAAATTTTGACAATCACGTCACCTAAAGCCAACATTATCCGGTCCTACTTCACCGCTAAATAGGAATATACTTTCATAACTCTTATACAGGCTCCAGCAATAGAAGTCAAAATACTTATACTGGTAATATATTATTGTTAATACAATCGTATCAAATACCGGTTCTCTTAACTGCCATAGCAGCCAATGCCCAAAATTCTTCTTGTTTTGCTCTGCACGTTTGTCCTTCTCATTTTTCTTTGAAATCACTCTTGGCCATCAGATTCATCATCCATCTCTGATGTTTCCTCGTAGCATCCTTCACTTGTGCCAAGTTCTTCCTCCTCTGATTCTTCTTGCTCTGTCTCATCCTCCACATCGTCAAGCAAGATTTCTTCCGGGGGTATCATACCTAGCCCTTTACCACGGTAAATTAACCCAGTTCTCATCACATGATAAAACTTCTCTCTTAGGCGGACAAGGGGATGTGGATCCACCAGTTTACCTCTCCGGTACCCTTCCCGAAGAGCAACTGTAGTCGTCTTACACTTCAAAGAGAGGTAGAATACCCCAGGATACCTAGTAAATATTCGTGTAAACTTATGAGGAAGATTTAGTTCTTCTCTCAAGCTCCTTAAGTAGTTCCTCTTAGTCTTCTTATGGATGGTCAAGCTCAAGATCTCGTGCAAAACCCCAACAACTCGCTTCTCCATGAGATCGCTGCTCGGATCGATATGCCTAGAATCTTCGTATGGAGAAATATATGGCAACTTCTGGAACTCCTCCATCCATGCTTTCACCTTCTTCTGTGCACCATATCCCCTGGGAAAATTCATGGGGAATGCCAGGGCTGTTTGTCCCCTCTTAAACTGCCTATATTCACCCCCTACCTCATTACTTTCATTTCTCTTCTCCAATGCCGAGACCGCATAACTCTCGGGCCAATTCACGAGCTTCAAGTACGCGTCGCCACTCACAGCCTTAACGAATCGAAAATGATCCGGGTGATTTGGAATCAACGTTTTCATGAAGTTATCAGGCAAACCCAGATCCCATTTCAACGGAATCAAGGATTGCAACGGCACGGTCTTGGTCTTCGTCATCATGAGCACTTTAGAGAGCCTCTCCACAGTGTCATGTTCATGATTCTGGTGTATGCTCTTCTCTTGTGAGTCCAACAGCAGAGCAGCGTCTGTCAACTTAAAACAAGGCAAACCCGCGTACCGGGCATGCGGGAATTCATGAAAGAGCGTAGGATACCTAAAAAGTGCAGTAATTTCAAACCAAATCATCATCCCAATTCACACTCAGAACCGAAAAACTCCCTATCACACCAGCACTTGTTACCCTTATGAGAAAATCCGTGATATGAGTACATAGCTCTATAAACTCCCCTCAAATTCAGCTAAAACGATTGCAAGAATGATCCTGAAACATAAGAAGGACGAGGCAGAGAATGGAGTTTACCTGCGCAAGAACCTGAGAACGGGGACGGTGAGGCCGAGGGCCTTCTGCCAATCGGCGACCGACTTCGCGGTCAGGAACCCGGTGGAGGACCGCTTGATGGCGTCCTTGAGGAGGCAGGCGGCCTTGAGGTCGGTCTCGGTGTCGATCACGTGGTCGAGGCTCCGGTTCTTGACCCACTTGAGGCGGACCTTGGTTATGCGCCGGCACTGCTGATGCTGGTGGAGGAGCGACCGGCGCAGCGCCGAGAAGAGGCCGCCGCTAGCCTCGGTCCTGAAGCTCATCGGCGGAAGCCCACGTCGTCGGAGCTTGAGAGCCCGCCACCGACGTCCGCCGGAGACTTGCTCCGGTAAGGGTTTGGCAGGTCGCGCCGCGCCGCCGTGCTCGGGCGCGGGTTCGAGGCGGCGGAGTGGAGGAGGGGAGGTGTAGGGACGACGGAGCGGGGAGGGGTTTTGAGCGGGCGCGATGCGGGGCCTGAATCCTGATATCATCGTCAGCCTTGGACCCGGTCCATGAACCCGGCCCGCGAAGGTGAAATGTCTTTAAAAAACCACCTTTTATGTGTTTTTTTTTTTTTTGGTAACGACTTTTTATGTGTGTTTTTTGTAACCCCCCGCACCTAGCCGGCACGGGGCAAACCCCAGGGGCGACACGCTTGGCCGACACGTCCACTACGCACGTGTCACCACCGGTTAAGTTACCTGCGGCGCCCGGGATTCGAACGCTTAACCTTTTGCGAGAGGAAGAACGCCCGCTTCAGCGACGCCCGCTTCAGCGACGCCACCCAGGCGGGTGGTGACTTTTTATGTGTTTTGTTTGCATGTAAGTTGATAAAATGTGATACCTAATAAACTAAACCCGACAAATAGCATTTCGCATGGATACAATCATCTTTACTTATACCAAACTCGAACTCCCAAAATTCCTCGCTGATTCCTCTCTCTTTCTATTTGTTGCTAGTTGTAAAACCTGAAAAAGAATTGACATGAATGATCTGATCAAACATTTCTCATTAAGTAGTACAACTATCTTTTAAGCAGATTAAACATTGGTTATGCAAATTTAAACGATACCAAAAACACATTTATTCAAATCTAGCCTATAATATACATCAAAGATTAGTTATACCAATTCGATAAAACTTAATACATATCATAAATGCTCATTCAATCAATAATATCAAAGCAAATACCGATGGTCTAGTTCTTTAGTCAATCATGTGCTCGATATCAAACTATAGCCAAGGTCTACCAAGATGCGTCTTGGTATAAGTCTCCACCTATATCAGCCGATGGTTCGGCCTAAATAAGACAACCAAAGAACAGTATACACACTCACAACCCCTTCGATGGGATCGCAGTGACAAGAGCATAAGACCATCAACACACTCTTCCAACCTATCATAAAACCATTTCAAAATTCATTTTCATAAATCAAGTTCACAAATCAATATATAGATGTATATAACCTTATACAATTTCTTCCATCAAGAAGAATACATTCATATAGCGTTTCGAAACATTTCACAAATAGTCAACTCCCAAATTATTTCAAGAGTTACTTTATTATGCCATTTCAAATAACCAAAAGGATAATAGATGTCCAATCCAATTTTATGCAACAAATATACACTACACACCATTTTTTTTTCTTTTTAACAAATATCATTTCGTGAGATGCCTCTTTCGTAACTTGTAAAATATCTAATTTCTATCATTTTTAAGACATTAGTTTGTAAATCATAGAAGAGATAAGCATACTTACCTGAAAATGCGAAAACAACAAGGAAAGCTACCTCAAGTGGAAAAACTCGAATTCCTATTATCTAAGTGAGAAACATATATCAAAATTAAGTAGATAACTACCTTAATTAAGAATCGACTAAACTAAAGTAAGCTTGTTTAGTAAAAAAAAAAAACGATTTCGACAAGCCAACAAAGTTCGATCAAAGTAGAACAACTATTGCTATCCGTTGTGCTGCAGTAACTCATGTAGAATTTAAAACTGTTCATTTGAATTCAACCAACGCCTGTTTCAAGTGAGTCTAGAGTCATTGGAAAATTAACTTGACATATTTTAAAGGGGGGACATATTTAAAAGGGGGGAGTTATACGGCCAGAGACTAGCGAAAAGCTTTGCTAAGCACAGCAATTCAAATTTGGTTTAAGTAGTTCGTGACAAACTTCAAAATGTCACCCCGATCAAACCGTCGACTTCAATATCGACTTCAATAAAAACTTATGGTCGGCATTTTAAAGTTTCATTACAACACAGTTTCATAGCTCAACAACCTCTAGAATCGATTAGGTGCGAATGGTAACCATTCTGCTCCAAAATCAAATTCTTGCCGTAAATTGATTTTCGAATTCTTGCTTGTAAATTGATTTCTCGAAAGGAGAAATCATGCTTAGTAAAACATGACTAATTACGCTCCGTAAATTGATTTCGAACAGTAAATCTATTTTGATTTGTTGATTTTTTTGCACCTAAAAAATTTAAATTTTACTCAAAATGGGTGGGCACAGTGTATTCTAAGCCATTTTGTGAAGTTTTGAATTTTTTATTTTTTTTTATTATTTTTATTTTTTTGGGCACCTCAAACAATTTAAATTTTACTCAAAGTGGGTGGCTACATGATATTCTAAGCCATTCTGAAGTTTTGAAATTTTTTATTTTTTTTATTTTTTTGGGCACCTCAAAAATTTAAATTTACTTCAAAGTGGGTGGCGGGTATTTTAAGCCATTTTGTGAAGTTTTGAAAATTTTTATTTTTTTATTATTTTTCTTTTTTTAGCACTCAAAAATTTAAATTTCACTCAAAAGAGGTGCACAGTATTCTGCCATTCATGAAATTTTGAAATTTTTGATTTTTTGATTTTTTTAAGCACTAAAAATTTAAATTTCACCAAAGTGATAAACAGTATTCTAAGCCATTTTGTGAAATTTTGAAATTTTTGATTTTTTCATTTTTTGAAATTTTTTATTTCTTGTAAAAAGGAAATTTGACTAGAATGCATTCTTGAAGAGAGAAGCTACAAAAAGTAGCTTCTCTTTTTTGGGCCAAAACTCATTCTGAAGCAAAATTCATTCTAGAGCAAAAAAGAATGAAGTTTTACCAAACGCGTTTTTATTCCGTAATGCAAAAATTGCTTCCGACGCATTCCAAAATTATTTTAACAAACGCATTTATTCTCGACGCATTCGGAGCGAATTTCTGCTCCGTAATGGATTCCATGCGCGCCCTTAGCGACCTAATATCTAAACTGAATGGAAATCACAGCTTAACCAAGAAAATATTTTCAATTATAAGGCCTTGATTTCTAATTGAGCGCTTCGAAACAACATTAATCCGATGCATTAAAATGTCCCCAACAAGCTTGAACCACAACCCTTTACCTCTCGCCTGGTTCACTTCTCTTTTCTATTTTTCCAATTCTTCTTTCTCTCTTTTCTCTATTCTTCTTTTTCCTGTTAAACTAGCAGCTTGACCTATACACGTCCTTAAAAAGACTTCATCTCAATCCTCGTCCGAACCTGTGGATCACAAGGATGTAAAAATTTCATAGAGTATTCCCTCTCCCTAGGGAAGGTAAAGATACAGGGAGAATTGGGGGTGTAAGACGTGCAAGCACCGACGTGTTAAAATAAGAAAAGCATCGGTGAAACCCGCCCGACAGGATTGGGACATTATAAACAAGGCTGAAGGAGGTTCGTTTGCCGGGCTTCAAATCCGTGGGCGTAAGAGAAGAGAATTGGGCCTCCTGGGCCTATGCCTTCCTTTAAGCGCCCATTTGTTACCGTATTCGACTAAATTCAACACCTACCACCAGCGTGTCTCCTGGGAATCTTGGACATTTCGTTCCCTTGACCATATTTGCGCAAGTGGCCTCTCTAGCTAATCATCTTCATATCATTCTCAATGTAGCATCCTGCCATTGATGAGGGCTCAAATTCATTGAATCTTTGATCAAGACTTCGAACTTTGTCACTACAAGATGATGCAAACCTTGTCCAGTCATGGACAATTCATCACTCGTTGCGACCTGGATTATGACATAACAAAAGAATTGCGGGAATTCGACGAGACCAAGGCCGGAGTCAAAGGCCTCGTGGACTCTGGCGTGACCAAGATCCCCAGGATCTTCATCCACCCGCCCGAGAGCTTGCACGGCTTGTCATCCAACGCAAACGGTACCGGCCTCCAGGTCCCGATCGTCGATCTAGGAGGCTGTTGGGATTCTCGCCGGCGAGACATCACCGACTGTATTCGCGAAGCATCGGAGGCATGGGGGTTCTTTCAGATAATCAATCACGGGATTCCGCTCAATGTGATGGACAGCATGTTGGAGGGTGTGAAGAAGTTCCATGATCAACCAGTGGAAGTGAAGCAAGAGCTGTACTCTAGAGACGGTTCGAAGAGAGTGAGGTACTTTTGCAATGGAGACTTTTTCCGGTCAAAGGCAGCAACTTGGAGAGATAGTATTGTGTTTGATTTCCAGGATGGTGTCCTAGAACCTGAGGCCGTTCTTCCTATTTGCAGGTATATGTATGACTTGTGAAAGTTAATCATTGAAGTTGCTACCTGAGAAATGAGAACAACTTTGGGCATTTCCTTTACTGAGGACCGGTTGGGGTTCAATTTATTATACTCGTCTTTTCAAAAACCTGAAACCAGATCATTCAGTGTAATGCATTTCCATACAGTTCAGAGCTTGGTTTTGCAGTGCCCCTTAACTACCTTAGTAATAGTTGAGGGAGTGCAAAGGTGTTCCTAAAGTCGAACATGCATTTCTTTTTCCCAAAAGAAAAGAACGTATACAATGCTGCAAACCTTGATACTGAAAACTCGCACACGGTGCTTTCATTTACTCGTTCGCAGAGAGGCAGTTTTAGAGTACGAGAAGCATATGGCCGAACTGAAGATGTCTTTATCCGAACTATTCTCAGAGGCATTGGGACTTGGTTCTGATTATCTCAGCGGCTTTGAGTGTATGAAATCGGAGACAGTGGCAGGCCATTACTACCCAGCTTGTCCTGAACCAGAACTGACTCTCGGTACAGTTAATCACACGGACTTATCGTGCCTGACTCTTCTCCTTCAAGACCACCACGGTGGTCTCCAAGTCCTCCAGGAAAACCACTGGGTTGATGTGGTTCCTGTGAAGGGAGCACTTCTAGTCAACATTGGAGACTTCATGCAGGTAAAGAACCACCTTTTTTCTGACCTTATGTTTTCTGTCATACATAACAAATACGAATTCGACCTCGAGATATGTTTCGCTGGAGTTGGTTTTGAACGCCCTTCATTACATCAACGATATAATGAGTCTAGACATTATTTTCTGAGCTACTAATCGAATGTAGAACGAACTTTCCACGATACCCTGAGCACTTGAGAAGAATCATAAGTGAAATCACAGAGCAATGTTGGGCATGAAAACACACTGCATTCTATGCCCAGCTCTTGGCATTCATCTCTACATCATCTTATGAAGTCATTACTCCTTTTCTGGCCTAATATGATGGTTGCAGCTTGTTACCAACGACAAGTTCAAAAGCGTGGAGCACCGAGTACTCGCCGGGCAGGTCGGACCCAGGGTTTCGGTCGCATGCTTTCTCTCCCCAAGCAGGATGCAGAAAACCAAACCCTTTGGGCCAATAAAGGAGCTTCTCTCTGAAGACAATCCACCCGTATACAAAGAAACCTCTCTTTTGGAATACGTCACCTACAATAAATCCCATCACCCGGGTGGCAGTTCAGCACTTTCTCATTTCAGGATAAGTGACTCCAAATAGAGCAGAGTTGTGGAAAATCCTGAATGACTGTGTCTTGACTGGTTAGTATCGTATATCTGAGTTTGTCGCAGGACTTTGTAACTTCCTCTTCGATCTGTGCAATAAAATCTTACTCATCCAAAACAAATCAGTGCCAAGGTTGATTCTTCTGATGCATTGTGGAATGTGACTATGTTCTTCAAATGCATCGAGTTTTGGATGCGAAGGAAGATTGGTCGTTATGAATCTAAAATATTGGAAACAAGTGATTCTCAAATTGTAATTCTAGGATCAAGTCCCTTGCACTAATGATTTTTTCCCACTCAAATCTTTTTGTTGCCAGCTCCAGGAAATGGAAACTAGCGTGTCAATTAATTTCAGCCGAAAGTTTGATGTTGAAATAAATGATGGAACCATATGAAAAGCTATTGAACATTTGCTTAATTGTTTTGCAAATTGATCAGCGGAAATTGATTGTCAACAATTTACAACATATTTTCTACTAGCAATCAACAAGCACGTCGGCTTCAAGTTGTCCGAGTTTCGACTTGATTGGACAAATTCTACAAGTTCAAGAACTTGATTACATGACAAATTTGATATTGACATTGCAAAGATGCGCATTCCTTTGAAATGGCGAAGAGCACACTCCCCACCAATTCCACCTCATGGGCAAAGAGATGTTTATCCGTACGTATTCTTTAAAAGGAAATTAAGAAGCACCGATTAATCGTTTTGCAGTTGAGTTTCGTTATGAATTTGCTGAGGCAGCATGAGGCTATTATCCAGCTATTTTTGCTTTCACCTTCCACTTGCAATTTGCTAGAAGGAAGTGACATTTCCTGTAATACAAGAGAAGGGTTTCGTTTTGCTTTTGAGCAGACTTCAGTGCACTTCCTGTATGCTGGGATACTACGAAATCTGCTCGTGATATTCATGATTGAATGATTTCATCGAGAATGCCGTACTGAACAAGTTCGTCTCCTGGAGGCTTTAGAGACACTGGCAACAATCATAGGACGTCTTACATCTGGTCGGTTTTTACTTTTGATAGTTTCAAGCCAAAGAGATTTCATCTCGATATTGGATGACGTCGTGAAAGCATCATCCTTGTTTTATTTTCCCGGTCGTGATTATTAAAACGATCACGGTCTTGATTGATGCAGGTTAGGGTGTTTGTCCATCTTTTGAAACTGTCCCGAACAATGGATCTCAACTGCGAGGACAAATGACGAGCGCGCCCGCGATTCTTCATTGGAGCATATTTCGGCCTGCATTTTCGGGCCGATCCTCCTCCCCATAGGATGACAGCCTTTCCGACTGGCTGTCAATCTATAAGCCGTCATTCTTCGATTGTGTGAGCAGTACCCTTCATTAATGAACTCGTCAACATGCTTACAATTAGCATGTATGCATGCATAGAATTTATGTTCTCATCCCTGTGAAGAAATTCATCAGTCCTCCGGACTAGGTGAGCGAAAGGATCTGCGACCAAACATGCTCCAAACCTTGCCATAACTTTGTTCTCGAGAAACTAAAAAGCAATTTCTGATTATTTTCCGGCCATTCATTTGTTGGTGCCATCTTCGGGTCAGTGACGTGCAATATACGTAATCATATGACTCTTTGACTTTCATAGGGCATTTTGTGGCAATCTGCACATTTTTTTTGTAGGGTATAAAGTAAACCGAGAGCATTTTACCTGGTTCTGGCTTCTCCAAATGCCCACTTCTAAAACCTCCCTCAGGACTCAGCAGAGCAGGTGAAACGGTAAATCTCATTCATACGGCAAAATATAGAACTCTAGAAGCTAGCATGCTTTTTGAATTGCTCAGATAACCTATGTTTCTCTCAAGTAGAACAAATTACACGGGGTTTTTTTTTTTTGAAATTTTTGGGAAAAGAGGACATAGATAAGGTAGCTGGCACATGGTAAATGCTAGAGATTACTGCTCAGATCAACAAACTGAAAACGAGCATGAAGCATAGGATTTAAGAACCAAACGGCAGCTTTACCGGAAGTCACAACTGCTCGTGAGAGACAGCCAATGCCTCATAAAAGCCTAGCCTTCCAAGATATGTACAAAAGCATGTGCCCACATAAGAGGGGGACTAAAACTAGAATTCATCCTGTGCATTAGTGGACTTAGCATATATTTACACGGTAAAATAGGACGGCAGGATAAACTACCTACCGCATGAAGAGCAGCAAACGAAAGGCTTCATAAAAATTCTTGTAGTATCGAGAATGAGGTTTTCATTCTGTACACGCCGGATCATGAATTGGTAACCGCATCCAATCTCAGTAAAACTAATCCCAAGCGCTGGTGACCCCTGTACCGTATGCTCCATACGCACCATAACCAGCAGAAATACCATATCCAGTGCTATTATATCCTCCGCCGTAGTGATCTGTACCTCTGTTGAATGAGCCTTCCCGTCTAAAATCGCGCCCACCAAATCGACCTCCAGAACGCCTATTTTTGCCACCACCATGTGACCTTGATGCGTAGCGTGGGAGCCAAGCAGGCACTTCCTGATTTGCCTCTTGCATCAATTCAACTAGTGGCCTCGCCAGCGATGAGTTGTTCTCATTAAAGAAGGCTGTTGCTAGTCCTGTTTTGCCAGCTCGCCCTGTCCGTCCTATCCGGTGAACGTAATCATCAATGTCATTGGGAAGATCAAAGTTGACCACATGGGCGACGTGAGGGATGTCAAGACCACGCGCTGCAACATCAGTTGCAACTAGGATTGGAGTTCTTCCGCTCTTGAATGATCGCAATGCCAGTTCTCTTTCCTGCACCAGAATTCATGCTATCATCAAAAGCGCAAGAAAGGTCCAACAAGAAGAAAAGGGCAACTTTGCCTTCTAAAGTTTCACAAGTCCAGAAATGTCCATCTTTTTTAAATGTAGCCACCTCGACCATGAAGTCTCAAAAATTGACCAATGTGTTCCAAACTGTTCATGAACTTAAGTCTTCAGATAACAGTTAAGTGCCATTATCAAAAGTGTAAGTGACTAAAAATCAAGTATTTTAATGATCATTCAAGGGACAAAACTGTATGGCCCCAGAAGAGTTGACAAGCCAAAGTATTTCATACTTTGAGTGGAAGAAAGGCTTTTTAGTTGTCTCATAGAACCAACAGAACTAGGCAACTTACTTGCTGTGATCTATCCCCATGGATGGTAGTAGCAGGAAACCCATTTGTATATAACCAGTTTTCTAAGGAATCTGCTCCCCTCTTTGTCTCCACAAAAACCAATGTCAAAGCTTGCTGAAAGTTCAACGGACGAATCACTAGTAAGTTCACTAAAATAAATCAACAAAACAACCCTCCTGTCCTGAGCACAAAAGAGGAAGTTTCCAAAAAAAAGGTCCAAAAAGCTCATGAGCAAGATACCATAGATTACCTTTCCATGAACCCCATTTTCTATTTGCGCATGGAGAAGGTCCATAAGATGGCTCCTCTTGTCAGACTCATGGACATACTCAACTCTTTGAACAATCAAATCAGTACTAGAGCCGACCCTTCCAACAGTCAAGTATATGTAGTTTGAAAGGAAATCAGAAGCGAGCCTCTGCATAAAAGATAGGTTGGAGAAAGTTGGATACAAAATTGAAAAATAAATTTAAAGGCACTTTTAAAATTGATTTAGATTTTATTAGAATGCACCAAATTAGCCAAGAAACTGATAAGACAAGAAATTACACTACAAAAATGTTATACCTAATTAAATTGTACCTGAATCTCCTTTGGGAAAGTGGCACTAAACAGCATTGTCTGCCTAATACCACGTGGAGGCATTCCCGTCTGTTCCACAATTTTCCTTATCTGAGGTTCAAAACCCATATCTAACATTCGATCTGCCTCATCAAGAGCCAAATATTGAATCATCTGCAGAGATACTCGGGCTCTTTCAAGCAAATCAACCAATCTCCCTGGAGTTGCAACTAGAATTTCAACTCCCCTTTCAAGTTCGCGTAACTAACCACAAAGAGGGAAATCGTTAAAAGATGAATTTGTTATAATTAGCAAGCAGTCCAGTCACTCTGTCAACTGTAATTCACTTTGTAATAAACTTCAAACACCGAATCAAATAGAACTCAGAAAAGCACGGGCAAATGTGCTATAGAACTGATTATCGTACAAAGCTAGAAGCAAATCCTAGCAGAAGTAATATTCTGCGCAAGTTCACTTAATCATCAGTAGAAACATAACGAAAATCATTGATTTTTTCTCAAATGATAGTCTATTTACTCTGGACTGACTCATGAGTGAGATCATACCAAAATACTTAGGTTTCTTAAGTTTTTCTCAAATTTAATTGATGATATTCTAATTTTAGTAATCAGTTAACCTTGCTTGAGTAACCACATCATTCAAAGCTTTCTCGCCTCAGCTACACTCATTTCATGCCTGTGTGGGATCTCGGCTGCCCATGATCCACATTCTGCCTCATAAATAGAAAAGTTTCTATTGAATAAAAAATATTATAAAACCTAAGCATTCAGGAAGAAACACCGTACACATTTCTCACCTAACTTACTGCAGCTTTACAAAATTTTTCTGAACATTAGAGGATAGTCCAAAAAAAAAATGCACTCATTCTCTTACATTGTTCACGCCTCAAACAGCTATATCTTTTCGAAAAATGAACTAAATGCACTCAAAACACCCTCGGCCACTGTTTTGGTCATATTCTAAGCTTTGCTTCTGGCCACTAGTATGTTCTAGTACTTACAAACTTTGAACTAATTTTCTAATCAATATGCTTCAGTTTCTACAAAATTAAATAAAAATCCTCTACACACTCCAGTTCCTTCAAAGTTCCAGCTTGACACTGTATCAACTGCAGAAGGCATTAATATTGGAACACAATTTTAGATGTGGCCAAAGCTCCTCCAATAGTATGGAAAAGATAAGGCTTAAACTCCAACTACATTCGTTCTCATCTTAATTCAATTGAGGGTTCTTCTTTAAAGCCTTAATGTTTCTTCCCCAAAAGCTCAATAATAGAGATCATAAATGTATGCAACCTGCTCCTATAAACTATCCACAGCCCCCAAGAACTTCTTCGTGCATTTTAATAAGCTTTTGCCATATTTAGAAAAAATTATGTGCAAATCTTCTCTATCGCTATGTCTTTTCAACAACCCTGCAACAAGTGGGTAGCATCCATGGTCACTTATCCCAAGGGAAGAAGGATTGGTTTTGACCATAGGAGTCTCTTCTGTCGACCTATGCTCCAAACTATTACCCCTATCCCCATTGAAGGAACCATTGGCTCAGCTTACTAGGAAAAGACTTGCTACAAGTATTCCTATAGAGGTATGAGAAGATAATCAGACTTGCCAATTTTACTTTCAAAGAGGACAAAAAATCTGATTTATGGTATCCAGAATCCAATCTACAACTCAACTAGCATCACATAAAAATCCATGGCTACAAGATCACTCTTATTCTGCATTTACCCAGTATAATCCCTACACATCAACATAACATAGTATGTAATGCAGCTCTCCACATATACAACTTATGAATAAAGACTCTAACAAGAGAGGGAGGGAGCAGCTCATGGTTAAAAATTAGTGGATTTGAAGTATCGAACATTTGCTTTGGAGAAACTATATACTCCAGAAATGATAACAGAAAGCTCTCATTGATAAATCATAATGACTAAAAAAACGGCTGCAGCTCTCCACATATACAACTTATGAATAAAGACTCTAACAAGAGAGGGAGGAAGCAGCTCGTGGTTAAAAATTAGAGGATTTGAAGTATCAAACATTTGCTTTGGAGAAACTATATACCCCAGAAATGATAACAGAAAGCTCTCATTGACAAATCATAATGACTAAAAAAACGGCAGTATTTGGGTGACCGTTGTTATAGCAGGTTTCTGGAATTCAACCTTCCAACAAGATCCATGCCCCCTCTGATCATATTGCTAGAAAGGCTAGAATATTCAGAAAAGATGTGTTGAGACAGTTATTTTTGGTCAATTGGCTGCTTATGAGAGTGTATCCCAGTTAAGTATAACATGAAAAACCAAAATTTTCAGCTCCATTGTTGGACACACATATAATCTAGCCAAAACGTGATTTTTGTTTAAAAGAAAAGGAATAATTGCATGGCGTAATAAAAGGTGGAACACATCTAAGTCCAGAACTGAAACCTGTTGAACGATAGGTGCCCCTCCATAAGCAACTACAACCTTGACACCAGTTTGATATGAAAACTTCCTTGCTTCCTCATGTATCTGCAAGTACATGACAAATTCCCCATCCCCATCCCCCCACCAAAAAAAAAAAAAACAGAGATTAAAATATTACTGCATTTCCCACTATGATAGAAAATTGCAAAGTATTTTCTGTAACCCAAATCATATGCCAAATAAGGTTCCAGACTCAAAGTTATACCTGAATAGAGAGCTCCCTAGTAGGGGAAAGAATCAGAGCAAGAGGATACGCAATTCTTCCACGCGGTCTCTGCACATACTGCCCTCGCATTATTCCACTAATTATTGGAAAGCAGAAAGCAGCGGTCTTCCCAGACCCTGTCTGAGCACAAGCCATCAGATCCCGCCCTGCAAGAGAAATCGGAATTGCATGGCGCTGAATTGGCGTTGGCTTCACGTACTTGCATCTCTGAATATTCAAATTCAACGCATCCCCTAAGTCTATGTCTGCAAAGGTATTCGCAGGAGGAGGCACGTTATCCCCAGTGGCCTCCACAGGAATGTCCTCATATGCGTCGAAATTGATCACCGCATTTTCTTGCTCAAGAAACCCCTGTTCGAATGTATCCTTGTCGGCAAAAGGATTCACCTCGCGATCTCTTCCACGGTCCCGTCCTCCACTTCTTCCATTCCAACCACCTGAGGGAACATGACCACCGCGCCCAACATCAGGTCTAAACCCACCAGTCGATCGGGACCCAGCAGGAGGCCCACCATAACTGCCGCGATCGTTCACAGCGCGATCATTCACAGCGGATGTGGCGGCACTTGGCGGAGCAGGAGAACCAGAGGACAGTGGCCTGCTGCGGAGGTGGGGAGGAACGTATGTGGGTCTCGCCAGGCGCGGTTCGTGAGCTTGATCGGGGGGAAATTTAGTCGCCGCCTTCTCCGATGCGGCAACGGAATCAGCCCATGACGTTGTCATAATTCCCAGTAAGCTTCTCAGTGACTCGGAAGACGTAACTAGATCATGCACAAACCGGAATCAACCTGACAATGAGAAGTTAAAAATATAAAACTCGATGCGTAAAACACCCCCAAAAAAATTGGTCCCATCACTAACATAACCAAAAATTGCAACAAAAGCGCAAATGCAACACCGAAAACACAAAAAAGAAGGCACTCGACCGCACCAAAACATACTAGGAGACAACGAAACCACATCACAGACCAGACACTTCATATCACAAAAACCACAAGCTCCAACGAAGACGAACAAAACAGAAGTAAATGATCGTGCCAGTGAGCTTCTCAACGACTCGGAAGACGTAACTCGATCATGCACAAACCGGAATCAACCTGACAACGAGAAGCCAAAAAAATCGAACTCAAAGCGTAAAACACCCAAAAAAAAAAATGGTCCCATCACTAACCTAACCAAAAATTGAAACAAAAGCGCAAATGCAACACCGAAAACCAAAAAAAATAAAAAATAAAAAAGGCACTCGATCGCACCAAAACATACTTAGGATACAACGAAACCACATCACGGATCAGACACTTCATATCACAAAAACCACAAGCTCCGACGAAGACGAACCAAAACAGAAGTAAACGATCATGCCAGTAAGCTTCTCAACGACTCGGAAGGCGTAACTCGATCATGCACAAACCGGAATCAACCTGACAACGAGAAGCTATAAAAATCGAACTCAAAGCGTAAAACACCCCCAAAAAAAATGGTCCCATCACTAACCTAACCACAAAATTGCAGCAAAAGCGCAAATGCAACACCGAAAACCAAAACAAAAAAAAAAGGCACTTGATCGCACCAACACATACAACGAAACCACATCACGGATCAGACACTTCATATCACAAAAACCACAAGCTCCGGCAAAGACGGAACACAACAGAAGTACACGATCATGCTGAATTCCGCAGGGAAAAACTTCGCGAAAACGAACTAGGGACCGAAGAAGCAGTACGCAGAACCATCCCGCTGCTCCGAATCAAGCGCGATTTCGAGATCCAGGGAAGAAGATACGAACCGGAACTGGGGGAGAGCTCGTCGAGAGCGCGAAGAAACCCTAAGTCGTGCTGCGAATCGGACGCGATGCGAAGGCGAGAAGGAAAAGGTTGCTAAATGTTGCAGAGAGAGGAAGAGAGAGAGAGAGAGAGAGAGAGAGATGCGTACGTTTACTGAAAGTGAGAAATGAGGATTTTGGAGGAATTTTCTCGGTGTTTTCAACCCCCTCTCGCATCCGAATTTCCTCCTTTCCATTTGCCCCCTTTACAAAACTGGCCTCCGCTCTCTCTCTCGTTTGGGGTGGACACGTGGCGTGGAAATGGTTGTAAAGTATGTACTCTTCATTTTTCGAAAGTTAATTTGAATTGAAGCAATTCAAATTCTAAAAGGCTAAACCGACCCAAACAGCCCATGAATTTTGACTTAAGGTGTAATTTAATTCCTGAGCTTTTAATTTGTTCAATGTAATCCCTGAACTTTAACCCAATGTGTAGTGTGATCTCTGAACTTTTAATTTGTTCAATGTCATCCATAACTTTTGGTACATGTCCAATTCAGTCCCCGAACTATATAAAAATGTTCAATGCAGTCCTTTCCATTAATTCAAGTTCAGGAACTACATTAAATATTTTTATATAGTTCAGGGACTGGATTCATAGATGATATTAAACAAATTAAAAGTTCAATAACCACATTAAACATTGGTCTAAAGTTCAGGGACTACATTGAATAAATTAAAAGTTCAAGGATCAAATTACACATTGAGCCAAAGTTCAAGGACTGTTTGTGTTATTATCCCTTCTAAAATTAATTTAAGTTCATTATACATATACATATATATGTATATATATGGCTTGCTAATTTCCAATGAAGTTTCGATGACGACACACCTTTGCATCAATTCAATTGACAAACAGAAGCAATCGGTGTAGTTTCTTTCAAAATGGTGGGAAAAACTAAATAAAAGCTTCATTAAGGGCAAAACACAAAATTTATCTCGAGTGATAATATTGGTTCAAACTTTTTTTTTGTGTCTCAATAAAAAGCACAAACTTTTACTTAAGTCTTAAATCTGGCCCTCATGATATGAATTTTTCAAATTGTTCGTACCAGATTTGGGATTTAAGTGAAAGTAGGTGATTTTTTATGAGACAGAAAAAAGTTCAAGTCAGAATTGCCCCTCGAAATAGAACGAGTGTTTCTTTTTTTGGAATTAGGCCCTCGATTAAAGTAATTAGTGTAACAAAAGCAATCGGTATGGTTTCTTTCAACATGGGCCCATCGTGGGTTGTGCATGGCATGGCCCATTTAAATAACGGGGCGTGAGGGCCTTTTTAAGCTTCGTTTCGGCCCATCTTTCACATTTCTCTAAAGCGGCCCATTGGACCCAAGGCCTAATTCCAAAAATCAAAAGCACCGACTTTATCTTGAGTGGCAATTTTGATCCGAACTTTTTTTTCGTCTCATAAAAATCGCAAACTTTTATTTTAATCCCAAATCTGGCTCCCGTGATGTGAAATTTTCAAATTGTTCAGGCCAGATTTGAAATTTAAGTGAAAGTTGGTAATTTTTATGAGACGAAAAAAAAGTTTGGATCAGAATTGTCACTCAGGATAAAATCGGTGCTTTTGATTTTTGGAATTAGGCCTTGGGCCCATGATCAGTAGCCGCCGAATTATTTATGGGCTCGGGCACGAACCGCTAGTGAAACGGGCCGGCCGGTCCGCCAAGCCCAGGCCAGGCGAGAGAGAACTAGGAAAAAAAATATCGACAAGCTGGAAAAAAAAAAAGAAGAAAAGAAAATCCCTAAAAAAAATTAAAAAGAAAAAAAAGGGAAAAAAATCCATAGGCAACTCCGTTACTCCCACCACAAAAAAATTCCTCACGCGCAACGCCCCGTCATTCTTCACGCGCCCTCGCTGTGCATCGGTTCCCTCGCTCCCTCCCTCGCTGCGAATCGAAGGGGGGGCAAAAAAGCGAAGGACCGAAAGGGGGGGCGCCGAAGGATCGCCGCGAACCCGAGGGCTTAGGGCAGCGCTCCCCTGAAATCTCCCCGCTTCATCGGCGGCGCGTGGATCCGGTCACCCCGGAGCCGTCGGAGCCGAGATGGGCGCCAACTCCCTGTCCTCCGATGCCGGCCTCGATCTCGACGAGCAGATCGCGCAGCTCATGCAGTGCAAGCCGCTCTCCGAGCAACAGGTTCGGCTTCGTTTCGTCTCGTTTTCTCCCCACTCGCTTTTTCGATTGCGGATCGTTTTGCGTCGTTTCGGCTTCCGAGGATGCGGCTGGTGGTGTGGGTTGGGATTTTCAGCGGATGAGGCGGTCGATTTTTGCCTGCATCTGTTTCTTGGCGGGATTGGGGGCGATTCTCCGTTGGGTTTTGGTCGGTTATTGTGCTGAATTGCAGGCGGATGAGCTGAGGATTAATCTTTGGACTGGTGAGGTTTTTCGCTGGGGAGGTTTACAGGAGAGATTTGGGGCCACTTACGTAAGGAGGGTTTCTCGTGAGGGAGGAATGAGATAAAAAAAAGGAGGAGGTGGATGCCGAAATGCATTTTGAAAGGGATTGTTGTGGAAATGGTATCGGGCGTTTGGCGTTCTACTCGTAGAAAGCGGATTTTTCGGGTGGAGATGTTGTGATCGCCACTTTAGGTGATCTGGCGATGGGGTTTTACGGAGTTGGAGTAATCATTTTATGTTTGAATTAATCTCAAAGGACCAAAATGTGATTGTTTGCTTTCGAAGACTCGAAAAGGGTCTCTAGAATGAAGAGATGCGGCATTTTACTCTCGTGGGAGTTTATTTTACTTCAGAAAGGGTAATAGCTAGTTAATGTTGGGGGGCAAACCATCTTTGAGTTTTTGGAGTATATGTGAAATGTGATTCTCCTGCTGTTTCCAGCTTAGGTGTAGTAGTTGTGGAGGATTTGGTATTAGATCTGTTCAAGCTCCAAATTTTTGGATAAATTTGGCTTTTATTCGTAAGAAGCTTATCTTTGTTTAGCTATGGATGCTTGTGGGGGTAATAAAGAGGTCCTTAGTACATACCTTCTGTTCTGTAAATTACCACACATGGTGCAATTTATCTCCGACAGTTGGGGGCAGGGTCGTCATATTCAATTTCGGAGTGCAAAGCTTGTCCTTTGTTCTTCAATGCCTGCTTTCTTATAATAGGAATCATAGTGCAGTTCATATTCAACGGTGTAGTTTATAAATGTATGAAGTGGTTCGGAATGAAAACGGTACGCCCATAAGCTTGAGGATTTCTTGGAAGTGAAAGCTGAAGCTAGAAAGTTGGACCAGCATTAAGAAGATTCTATCATTGTACATTTTTATTTTATGCTGATGTGGAGCTTCGCTGACTGCTAGTAATTTTGAATTACTTGCTGGTTGAAGAGGGCTCACTTCGTCTGTCAGTCCTTCTCCCCATAAGCATCGTTCTCACTATTTGCAACAAGCACACAACATGAACACGTGCTTGCCTGAAGGCTATGCGCCCACACACGTGTGTGCATATTGTTTGCACTCACTTGGACATCTATATCCGGGAGACTTTTATTATTTTATGAAGTTTTATGGATTGTGAAAAACAGCTAATAAGTCCTGCAACCCCATTCCTCTTCCGCATTTCCTTTCCAGATTGATATAAAAGAATGATAATGTTATTTGATTTAACTTTGATGTAGGTTAAAGCTTTATGTGAGAAGGCGAAGGAGATACTGATGGAAGAAAGCAATGTCCAGGTACAACCATCATATATCTTGTTTAATTTATCTTTTGTTGAAGTTCGCTCTTGTGACCGACGTCTTTCTATGTTTTTGTTGGTTTTTCCTCTAGTCTAGGATTTAGCTTACTTTCTTAACCTGTTAACTTTTCTGTGCAAGCGGGAAAAGAAACAGAATTGCTTTTGAGAAGATAATAAGAAAGTATCCTCGTCACTGAGCACATAGATTAAGACGTAAAGATTCTTTACAGCATGAACCGCATGCCACTGTAAATTCATGTACATGTTTGTATGCTGAATGTCCTGGAATTCACTAAAGCCAACTAACTGGTCTTCCTCTATGGTTTAGCATTCTTATTAGATTAAACACCAAAATGCCAGCCCCTTTTGAGCTGTTGAATAGAATTGGCATGACCAATAAATCCAAACTTTTGGCAACTCGAAGGATTTGAATCCACAGTGCATTTGAAAGTGTGAAATAGGTAGCTAGTGTATCCATGTGAATGATTCAGGCACCCCGGTTTACCTTTAGTGATTCCTTTGTTTCAACTAATTGTAGTACAATATCTTTCAAGTTCTCTCATTGTTTCTTTTCATGCACCTTCAAAGTTACAAATATTTATTGCCAGAGTCAGTGGAAATACCATTCATCTGCCAATTAAAACGTTCTCCTATTTTCCTTGTTATTCTTTAATTTATTTTCTTTCAAGACCTTTTATTGATGGACTATTTGGTGAGTGGACTAATCGGTTTAAGAGATACGATAAATTTGCATTTACCTGGAGCATAAGAAAGCTGCTTTGGTCATTGGAAATGATCACTGAGGTTTTCATGACTGTTCTACTTGATCTTCTTTATTTTACCATTCTCATATAAGTTGCTTCTAGTTCTTGCTCTGCATTATGGTTGGAGAAGATATGTGATAACATTGGTTTTCCTTAGTTGATTTTTATTCTGTATTCTTCTATGCAGCCTGTGAAAAGCCCTGTAACAATTTGTGGCGACATCCATGGGCAGTTTCATGATCTTGCTGAACTTTTTCGAATTGGGGGAGAGGTAATAATGATGACTTAACTGTTTGAGCATTAGAATTTCTTATGCCGGCAGAGATAATTTTTTTTTTCATAACTTTTAGAAGTTGAAGATGAACCTTTAAAAATCATGGAGAAAAATCTTATAGTTCCTGTGCTTTCGTGATGTATAATATCTGTGTGAAAATCTTAAACTTTTGCATAGATTTTCTGTGGGAGATCCTTCTCAATTAGTTGACTTGTGAATCTATTAATGTTCTTTTTTTTTTATTTATTGACAGTGTCCAGATACCAATTACTTGTTCATGGGTGATTATGTGGATCGTGGATATTATTCTGTCGAAACTGTAACGGTAAGTATTAATTGGTTTTAATTGTGTATTAGACATTTGTTTGGAA